TTTTTTTTTTTTTTTTGTTCCGGGGATTGAACTCAGGACCTTGTGCTTGCAAGGCAGGTATGGCGCCACTGAGCTACATCCCTGGCCTGGACCTTGAATTCACTATGTATCCCAGGCTGGGAACGAACTTGGGGCAATTCCGACTCATCTTCCTTCCCAGAGTGCTAGGATTACAGGTATGCACCACCCACCCTGGCTATTGTCCAATTTAACACGAGCATGGTTTAGCTGGGTAGGTGTGGTGACATATGCTTATAATCCAAGCCACTTGGGAGATGAAGCAGGAGAATTGCAAGTTTGAGGCCAACCTGTGTAATTTAGTGAGACTTTATCTCCAAAAGGGCTGGGGGTCCAGGCATGGTGGCGCACACCTGTAATCCCAGCATTTGGGAGGCTGAGTCAGGAGGATTGCCTCCAGTTCAAGGATAGCCTAGACCAGATAGTGAGTTTAAGGCCAGCCAGAACTACATAATGAAACCCTGTTTCAAAAAACCAAACCAAGGGGCCAAGGATTTAGCACAGCTGCAGTGTGCCTGCCTCACAAGTTCGAGGTCCTAAGTTTGATCCTCAGTACCAGAAAAAAACAAAAAACCCCAAAGCCAAACCAAAAAAGAAAAGAAAAGAAAAGAAAAGGGCTGGAGCTGGATGTGGCTCAGTGGTGTAGCCCTTGGGTAGTATGTGTGAAGCCCTAGCTGGGCTCAAAAGCCAGCACCAAAGTGGGGAAAAGCATGGAACTGTTTTTACTGTTTCCACTCTAGAGAAGAACCCAGTCAGTGGTTCTGGTTAAACACATGCGCCCAAGGTCACACAGCTGGAAAGTAGCAGGGCCAGAATCTGAATGCAGGGCAGTGAAACTGTAAAGCTTATCCCAAGGCTTCTCCTTTCCATGGCCCCTCTTAGCATTTGTAGCCTGTTTCTCTGCGTCCTCCTGTCAGATGGAACTACTGGGCTCCACATTCTTCCTTATTCTCAGAGACGGCTCCTAAATGCCCTCGCTGGCCTCACGTCTTCAGTGGGCGCATGTGCCCCAGTGCCGCCTTTGCAGAGAAGCCCCTCACCTCCTCAGATCCCCAGTCTCCCCTGGCCTTTCTGCACCTCTGGGAAGGCTCTGTGTGCTGCCTGGACTCACGGTTTTCTTCCAAGCGCCAGGCTTTTCCTGCTAGACTGAGAGCCTCACTACTGAGGAGGCTCGGCTGGGGATCAGTAAACGAGGGCATCTTGACCTCACCTGGGCAGGGCAGAGGGTCTGGGAGAGGAGGGCAGTGGCTGGGCTGAGCTGGGGGTGGGTGGGAGGTGGCAGAAAGGCGCCCACCCACCCACCCACCCTGTGCCCCGTGGGTGCTCACGTCCAGGAAGCCAGAGAGCTCAGTTTGCAGCAGCTCCTTCAGCTCCTTCTTGCTCAGCTTGTACTTGTCCCCCTCCTTGCTGGAGTGGGTGTGGAACACGTTGATGAGGGTCTCCATCGCAGTCTCCAGCTCAGAGCCCATTGGGGCAGCGCACCGACCTGCCTGACCATGGAAGTGAGCTGGGGACCAGGCGCAGGGGATCTGGGGTCTGGGTCAGGGGCTCCCTCAGGCTTGGCAGTGCACATAGCTGCAAGATGCCAGCCCCACTGCAGTTTGTCCTTCACTGAGATTTTGCAGTGCGGGAAGCTCCAGCACACCTAAGCCAGGCATGCGCCCTGTGCCCTCAGCCCGCGCCCAGCCACGGGAAGTCAGGGTTGGCACGGGGAGCGAGTGACCTGAGCCAGCTGGCTCCAGGGCCTGCAGTGGACTCTGCAGTGGCTCCGCTGGCAGAGCCTGGGAGGGTGGGCACAGGACCAGCATGGTTTCTCCTGGCTCTATTTTTACCCTGGACCTTGCAGGCCTAGCACAGCCAAGCTGTTCTGCTGGGCGTAGTGGGCCAGGTCTCTACAGCCTTGACTCTGCTGCCCACCCCAGTGCAGAGTTAGTGTCCTCAGGGAGCCTGATAGAGGGGTGGCAGCCCGAATGGGGGACTGTGGCTTCTGGGGAGGTGAGCCCCACTGTCCTTGAGTTTCCTGTCAGCAACCTGGGGCCTTGTTAGGGCCTATAAGTCCCTTCTGTCCTCTGCATGTCACTGTGACTTGGGTGGGGCGTGCCTCTCATTGCTTTCAGTTTGTTTCCTCTTCTTGGCAAAATTATCCCCTCCATCAGGTGGGTGGGAGGGAGCAAGAGAGGAACGTCTGCACTCTGCCCCTGGAGCGGGAGAGGAGACCTGCAGGCCTTGGGGTGCAGCAGGAGCAGGGGCGGGGCTGGTATGTGTGGAGGACATAAAGGGCTGAGTCCCTGGGGTCCTTTGAGTTCGGGGGACTGGGAGCAAGCAGAGAATGGAGGGGCCTGCTGACAAGAGGAACCTGCAAACCGGGGGCTCGGTCCTTCGGCCCTGGTCAGTCAGGCCCTCCCCAGCCCCTGGGGCAGCTTTGGTGACTCAGATCAGGTGGCCCCATCCTTCCCCAGGCCTGGGGGTGGGGCTGGGCAGTGAGCCCCGATCGGATGACATCCCCACTCTTCAGAGGGGCTCTTGTGAGTGTCACCTGAACCCTGGACTGGAGAAGCCCTTGTCAGAGTCATGGGAGGCGAAACCCAAGCTGAGCTGATGGAGGGGATAAGGGTACTCCAGGGAGGGGTGCTGGGCTCAGGTACCAGACCCAGCCAGGAAGGGACCTGGAATTGGCCCAGCGCCCTCAGCGGCCTGGGACTGAGCAGGGAGTTCTGAGGGAAGAAGCTGGGGCAGGAGGCGTGGGCTGGGGTCTGGGCAGAGAGTGGGGAGTCCCTGGGCCCCTTCCCGACAGCCGTGGCCCAGGCCCTGCCAGCACCCCACGCCTCCTGGGGACCTGGCTCTTGCCAAGGATGAGCTGCAGCAGAGACTGAGGTTCTGCAGTCTTATTCGTACCCCACAGGAAGCAAGGCCAGCACTGAGGCCCCTCAACCTCAGAGGCCCAGGGGCTGCAGGCCCTGAGGGGAGGCCTCGTGCTGGGAGCCAGGTGGCAGGCTCCCCACTGACCGCCCAGCGAGCTCCCGGCCCCTCTGCCCTTGGCTTGGCCCCCCTCGGACCTCCCACGCTGTCTGCACGGCCCCCGGTGCCTGGGCCTTTGGGGTCCCGCCTGGCCCTTCTTCACAAGCTCAGCAGGCTGGGGGCCTAGCCCAGGTGGGGCTGCATAGTACTCACGGTTGGTCTGGGCCTAGGAGGGAGCAGGTTCTGGGTGGATGTGGAGACATGCACACGCACACTCGTGTGGCTGCGAGCTATGTGAGGGCACCTGTCTGTGGCGGCCTTTCCCCTGCCTGCCCCAGCTCCACCCCTTCCTCCACAGGCAGAGGGGCCGGGGCCAGGAGTGTCAGAGGCGCCTGCTGTGTCCTGGGCTGGAACGGGCTGCCCAGTGTCCTCCCGCCCCGCTGGCACTGCAGATGGGAGGGAGGAGGCGACGGAGTCCGGGAGGGCCAGCGATGGCTTATCCTGCCCTGCTCTGCAAATCCCCGAGGACTGGCTGAGGGGCTGAGCCCGGGAGTCTTCCTGAGGGACTCTGTCTAAGACTTCTGTGCTGGCTTCGGCCTGGACCCGTTTGTGGGCCCCCCGCCTTGGGGCTGGGTCCCCAGAGGGGTCTTGGTCTGTGAGGTCTGCCCAAGAGTGTGTGCTTTTCAGATTAAGTTCCCGCAGTTGCTTTTCTTTTTTGGTCCTAGAGTTGAACCCAGGATTTCAGCACTGAGTTATGCCCCATGCCCTGTGTGTGTGTGTGGAAGCAAGGATGGAACTCAGGGCCTTGCGCTGTCAAGCTACACTCCTGACCCCTACCCCATGCCCTTTTGAATTTTGAGACAGGGTCTCCCTGGGTCACTTAAATTTCCCAGGCTGGGGCTTGAACTTGGACTTTTCCTGCCTTAGGCTCACCAGAGAGCTGGAATTTCAGGCATGTGACACTCTGCTGGTTACCCTTAGTTGCTTTTTAATTTTATTTTTGGTACCAGGGATCGAACTCAGGTACTTGAGCTTGAGGGGCAGATGGCGGAACCACTGAGCTAAATCCCCAGCCCTGGTTGCTTTTTTAAAATTAGCAATTGTGCCAGGCAGAGCGGCGAGTGCCTGTAATCCCAGCCCTTGGGAGGCTGAGGCAGGACTCCAGCCTGGACTACATAGTGAGTTTAAGGCCGCCTGAACTACAGAACAAGACCTTGTCTCAAAAAAAAAAAATTAGCAGTTGTCTCCCATCCCGTTCCAGTCCCCGGTCCCGTCCCCACAGACACGCCATGTAATGAGGCAGCTGCTCCCAGTGCAGTGCTGGGAGCCACAAGCCTCCGGGTGGACCGGAGCTGCGACTCCTCCTAATCAGCTGGAAACTTGATAGCCCGGGGCGGGGAGTGGCTTTCTCCTTCCTGCTGCCGCTGCCTGAGGCTCCGGAGGCGCAGCGCTTATAAGCCTCAGCCTAGAGGTTGCTGCTCTCCGCCCCATCTCCTCGCCTTGGTGAGTTGACCCTGGAGGGAGTCTGGGGATCCTTTTCGGCACCCCAGCCCCGCCAGCTGGCTCCAAGAGGGAGTCAGGAAGTGGCTTTGGGAGAGCAGGCGGCAGTGTGTGCTGGGAGCGTGGACGTGTGTACGGAAGTAAGGCGTGGTGGGCTCCCCCAGGCTTCCTGGTGCTCCTGGGGGCTGCGAGCACCCCACCACGCCCTCTGTGCCTCGGGGGTCAGAGCGGCCCCCAGTGAGTTACTCGGGGACACGAGCGTGGGGCGGTCTGCGGGGTCGGGGGTGAGTGCCGAGAAGAGGGTCTGCCGGATGCTTCGGCCAGCGTGTGGGCAGCACACCACGGCCAGGCCGGGACCCAGGGCCAGTGTGGACATGCTTTGGAGACTGGAGACAGGCAACCTCCTGACCTTCGTGGCTGGGAGGGAAAACAAGAAGGGCTCTTGGGACAGACCCTCCAGGGGGCTCCAGACAGCGGCCTTATACGAGGGGCTCTGAAAAGGACCCCCAGACAAAAGAGGTTTCTGCAGCTGAACCTGAACTGAAGCACCGTGACTGCTCCTCTCCCCGAACCCTGCCCAGTCCCCTCCCTCTTGCAGCAGTGTCCCCTCCAGCCAGAAGCCTGAGGCAGCACCAAGACCTTCCTGCACTGGGGGCTTCTGACCCCCCCGATATCTTCCTTCCCTGCCCTGCAGGTCAGCCCCGTGAGGACAGCAGCTCCAGCCCAGGACCCTAATGGCAGCTGAGCCCCTGACTGAACTGGAGGCTGCCATCGAGACAGTGGTCACCACTTTCTTCACCTTTGCAGGGCAGGAAGGCAGCAAGGGCAGCCTGAGCATCAGTGAGTTCCGGGAGCTGGTAACTCAGCAGTTGCCTCACCTGCTCAAGGTCGGTGGCATCTCCGGGACTGTTGGTGTGGAAGGCGTGTGGCCACAGGAAAGCCTGCGAGTGAGCGGGGCAGGTGGCGCTGGGTTTTCCTGCCTCGACTGGGTGTGTGTGCATGTGTGTGACTCGGGGAAGGACGCTGTGCGTGTTCGGTGGGAGTGTGATTGGGTGCTGTGCGCCCCTCAGATGGTGCTGTCGGGTTCTCGTGTCCGCCTGAGCCTCCTGGTTTCATTTCCCCGACACCATCCTCGACCCAGAGCTGCATTCCAGGAGATCCCACAGACCATGGGTAGAGCTAGAAGGAGGCTGCCCAAAAGCAGACATAGCCCAGCACATAGATGGAAACAGGCCATGTGGTGGGAAGGGGCTTTCCGAACTCCTGCAGCCCTAGACTCAGTGTACGGCATGTAGTGAGCACGTGACTCCTGCTGCTGGCTGGGGCCCCAGATGGCATAGCTGGCAGGGGTGTTCCCTCTCACCTGCTCTCCAGAGTGCGTGGGATTTTGATTTCATTGCTCTAGGTTTGCAGGCTGTTAGCTTCTTTCAGATCCTTTCTGGAAGCTCACAGGCACATAGCAGTGTGTGAACTTACAGCCTTTCATCTGCAAAATCCCCTGTAGCTGACTTCTCAGACTCATCCTTTTACCCTCTTACTGGGAATTGCAGAGTTCCCCCTGAAGACACGACCGTCCTAGTAGCCTGGTCAAGCAGTGACTGGTTTGCTTTCCAAATTCAGCACCTCTGGAAGCTCAGGAAGGGAGCTGCGCCTTCGGGTTTCTGACGGGTTTCTGACGCTCTTCACTTCTAACGATCTGTCCGCTGTCCTGTTCGTGGTTTGCTCCCAACATGACCAGCTTCTGAAGTCGCCATGGCAAGCCTCCCTTTGTCTGAGCGCCTCCATCGCTCCCAGCTCTGGCCTCAACCTCGCTCCTTCCCTCCAGCATTTCTCTGACTCCCTAGGACCTCAGTCTCTCCACCCTTCACCTTTTCACCTTCTTCCCCACTCCTCATCTCATTTCTCTTCCTCCTCAGTCATATCTAAGACTCATTCTCCTCGTTGCCTCAGTGCCCTTGATTCTGTGACCTTGTCTGGTCGTCTGGCAGAATCCCAACCTTGGTGAGATCCGGCACTTCATCTACTCTAACTTCCTGGCTAAATCTACCATCTGTACCTCATCTTGGACAACTGCGGCCGGGGGAGGAAAATTCACAGCCATGTTGACTTCAACCTACAAGACATGATCAAAATGTATGATGAATGTTTAAAACAATTTGTTATAACAATTTTAAATATTATTTAAAACAATTTGAAAGACACTTTGCCACCAGTCCCCCTCAAAACCCACATCTTCCTTCAGATATGCTTAGAGCATCGTGTTTGCCACTTTCTGAAGCAACCGTGGAAATCCTCTTTTGGGATTCTTCGCAAGGTGTGAGTGCTGCTGCTGAGTGCCATCCGATGGAAAGGCAAACTTGTAAAAATGTGACTCTGTGTCCTCATCCACCCTACTCACTGGATCTGACACTGTGCGACTTCTGGTTCTTCCTCAAAGTCAAAATGACCTTGAAAGGTAAACGCTTTGAATCAATTCAGGACATCAAGGCAGCCACGGCAATGCAACTAGTGACATTCATGGAGGAGGACTTCCAGGACTGCTTCAGAGAGTGGCAAGAATGATGGGAGAAACGCGTTTGAAGGCAGGGTGTATTTTGAGTGGAATGGATGGCAATGTGTCTTTCATTATAATGCATTTATTTATTTATTTATTTACTAGGTGGTGTTGGTTTTTTTTTTTTTTTTTGCACTACCGGGCATTGAACTCAGGACCTTGTGCTTTCAAGGTGGCACCACTGAGCCAAATCCCCAGCCCTCATCGTAATAACTTAAAAAAAAATTTATCTGGGGATTAACTTCAGCGGCGGCATAGAGCCTGCCTGGCAAGATTGAGGTCCTGAGTTCAATCCCCTGTACGGGGGAAAAAAAAAAAAAATTTAAACATTCATCATGTTTTTTCAACCACACCTTGTATAACCATAGCTGGATATGGTGGTGCACTCCCAGTGCTGGGTGTGATTCCAGCACTCCAGGAGGCTGAGGCAGGAGGATCCTCAATTCGATCTGGTCCTGGGAAACTTAGCTGTCTAGTGGACCCTGTCTCAAATTAAGAAATAAAAAAAGGGCTAGCGGCATAGCGTGATGTGAAGGCGCAGGTTCAATTCCCAGAACTGGAAAAAAATCCACAACCCCAGTCGTCAAGGGGATCCTTGGCCATGCCTGGCAATTCTACCATATTTCCCCAGTCAATTTATTTACCAGCTCCTTAAGATGATTGTTCCACACCTTTTTGTTATTCCTCAAACTGTACTGCCATTTCCACTTTCTCCCTCTCATGAGAAATTTTCTGACCGAGAAATTAAGAGCAGTCAGTAAATGTACATGAGCTCCCTGCCCCACATCTGCACCTGGATCACACAGGCCCGGATTTCTTCCTGTCCCACACATGAGCTGTCTCTGCTTCCATGGGTGCCCCGGGTCCCAGGCTTTCACCTCCTTAGAAGGCTTTCCTCTTGCAAGGGTTCCTTCTCTCTCTTGCATCGTCAAAACCTCTGTGCCTCTGCCATGGGGGATGGAACCCAGGGCCTCTGCACTGAGCTGTATCCCCCCCCATTTTTTATTTGAGGCAGGGTCTTGCTGAGTCTCTAAATTGTCCAGGTGGGACTTGAATTTTTGATCCTCCTGTCTAAGAGCTGAGATTATAGTTGTGAACCACCACACTGGTGATCCCAGGGCTTGGGTGGCTGAGGCAGGAGGGTCATGAGTTTGAGGCCAGCCTGGGCTACGTAGTACGACCCTATCTGAAAAAACACAGTCCATTTCCTTCTCTCCTGGAACAGCAGTATCAGATTACAAATACACCGTCATGTTACGGGCCAGCTGGTGGGTTCTGCTCTCAACCCAGAGAGAGTTATGAGGCACAGTCAAGAGAGAGTTAAGCAGAAGCATTTATTGGAGTGCAAAAGCAGAAAGCTCCCAATACCAGGAGACCAGAGCGGGTTGCCATGGGGACCCTGTGTAGGAGTTTTATACTCAGAGAGGACTGCAGCTCAGACTGCTCTGGGACAAGCTGAGGGCAACCTAAGGGGCTCCAAGCAGGAAAGCACCAGGAATTGTAACTTCTCTAATTGGCAGCGAAAGCAGAACGAACAGTAGAGGCCTGGTGGGGCTGGGTCTCCAGGCGGGTGGGCACCTCGAAGGGTAAAAGACAAAGACAAGTTTCCAGATAAAGGGGGCTGGGGGGTCAGTGCCTCAGGTGGGCAAAGAGAGACTTCCCGAGCCTGCCACTGTTTATTGAGTCCACACAGGCAACCGGAGGGGTGGGGGTGACTCGGAACAGCAGAGGCTGGGAAAGGAACAAAGCCTTCCTGTGAGAGCGGAGTGTAAGTGAGTAGGGAGCCTGAGCCTCCCCAGACTGGGACTGCAACTTCTACCGCACTGTTTGAAGAGCCAGGGCCTCAGGATTGAGATGTTATCTTCCCTGTGAGCCTCAGGGCTTCCGGGTCTTCCTGTGGCCGTGACCGGTGACCCGGAGCAAGGGGAGTCTGCATACCAGCCGGCCGCAGGGCTGAGTACTCGAGGGCCTGGAGCTCCCCAGCCTCAGTTTGCAGACTCTGGCAGTGCTAGCTCTCACCTGTTCTTTATCGCATTCCTGGATGGGAGATCTAGCTGGTTTAACGTGGGGCCCTGCTGGGCCTGGTCCTTTGTCTGCCCTCAGTCCCAAGCTCCCTCTTACTGGTTCCTTCCCTGGGCATCCCAACTCCCTCCGGCTTGGCTCTCCCTGCCTGCTGACCTCCCTCTCACAGTTCTAGAGAAATAAATCGAGATGAGGGCCCAGCAGGGCTGGCTCCTATGAGGGCCTCTTGAGGGCTGCAGATGCTGCTTTCAGGTCATGTCCTCTTGGGGGAAAGAACTAAATGCCCTCTGGGTTCTCTGTTAGAAGGGCAGACTGTGTTCACAGGGCCTCTGCCCTCAGACCCAAGGCATCCCCTGCAGGCCCTCAGATTTCAGGGCTAGGGTTTCAGCATGAATTTCAGGAGAGCGAATATTCAGTGCCTGTGAATGAGAGTAAACTTGTGAAAAAAGAATGAAAAAGATGTGAGTAAATGAGCGAACACATCTTGCACATCGTTCTGCAGATAGCCTTGCCTCTGAACAGGGCAGTGTGGGAGTTGGAGATAGGGTCTCGTTATGTGTCTAGGCTGGCCTTGAACCTGAGGTCCTCTTCCTCAGCCTCCCGCGTGCTAGGCTCATTGGTGTGTTCCACCATGCCTGGCTCTACAGATAGAGGCTGGACTGGGCAACTTAGTAGGACCCTGCCTCAAAATACAATTTATTAAAGAGTGAGTATGTGGTAGAGCACTTGCCAGGTATACACAAGGCCCAAGCAAAAACCCATACAGGTTATTTTCCCATTAAAAAAATTATGCCTGGGTCTGGTAGTGCAGGTCTGTAATTCCTGTGCTCCGGGAGGCTGAGGCAGGAGACTCGCAGCTTGTGAGCCTTCTGTCTAAGAGTGCTGAGAGTATAGGTGTGAGCCACCACACCCAGCAAGATTTCCTTCTCTTGCCAGGTATAGTGGTCACACCTGTGATCCCAGCACTCGGGAGACTGAGGCAGGAGGGTCATGAATTTAAGGCCAGCCTGGTCTACACAGTATGACCCTATTTCAAGAGACAAGGACAGCTTGGGGAACTTAGTGACCATGTCTCAAAATAAAAAATGTTTAAAAGGGCTGGGGCTGTAGCTCTGTGAAGGCCCTGAGTTCAAGGCATTGTATTCCATTTTATAGTTTAACACAGATTTATTTATGTAGTTAGTCAATCCTCCATCGATGGACATGTTTCTTGTGTTCTTTTTTTTTTTTTTTCTCCGCACTGGGGATCGAACCCAGGACCTTGTGATTGCCAGACAGGCGTGTCACCACTGAGCTACATCCCCGGCCTCTTGTGTTTTTTGTCTGAGTCAGGGTCTCACCATGTAGCCCAGGCGGGCCTCGAACTTGTGGTATTCTACCTCAGTCTCCTGAGCACCACGCCCTGCAGTGAATGTCCTTGTGTGTGACTTTGCATGCTTGAGAGAAAGTATCTATGTAAGGTCACAGGGCATGCTTTTTTTTTGGCTTGATTTAAATTTTTGTGGATATAACCAATTTTTTATTATTTTATTTTATTTTTTTTGGTACTGGGGATCGAACTCGGGACCTTGCGCTTGCGAGGCAGGCGGCGGCACCACAATATAACCAATTTGCCACCCAGCAAGGTTGGGCCAGGTGACCTGGGCCTCAGAGTGCATGAACATGTCTGTATTCCTCCACAGTGGGCATCGTCATGCCCTTCCTTTCTGTTCATGGAGCAGTAAGAATGGCATCTTTTCCCACTTGCACTTCTTTAACCCCGACTAGAGTGGAGCATTGAATGTATTTTGGTGGATGCGCACACGCTTCTGCAGTGAGCTGCTTATCTCTTTATCAAAGAGTTCATTATAGTTCTTTGTAGAAAAAAGAATCAGCCTGTTGTTTATTTGTTATTATTTGCTGCAAATATTTTTCCCTAATCTGTCCTGTGTCCTTTGAGTTATGTTTTTGGTATTTGGACCATACAGAATCCAAAAACTTTCATGGAGTCCAATCGCCTGATTCCCCGACTCCCTTCCGTGTTTTGTCTTCTCCCTTTCCTTCTCCCTTCCTCTTATTACTTAGAAATATCTTCCCCACTTTAACATATTTTTAAAAACTCACATTTTTAATTAATGTTTTCCTATTGTGAAATCCCAGCTTTATTTACTCGATTTCTGTGTGTTTATTGAATCTGTATTCCGTTTCCTTCATCTATTTATTATTTATCTAGTGACAAGCTGGCTTAATTACTCTAGGTTTTTTTGGGGGGGGATACTGGGGTTTGAACCCAGGGCTCTCACAGTTTTATTTTTAAAAAATATTTATTATTTATGTATTTATTTATTTATTTGGTACCAGGGATCAAACTCAGGACCACGTGTTTGCCAGGCAGGCGCCGTGCTGCTGAGCTAACCACGGCCCCTTTGAGATGTGAAGCTGTGAAGCACTCAACCTTGTGCTCCCTCACTGCGCTGCTGCTGTGTTTTCTCCACCAGTGTTCATTGAAGCTTACTTGGGCTGTGCTGGTGCCGCCCTAGACTTGGCTTACGGTGCTGAGCAGGCTGCCACTCGGCCAGGTTACCTCCTCGGCACCAGGAGTCAGCAGTGCCCTGGGAGCCTTTTCTGCCAGCCAAGTATGAGGCTCACAGGGAGTAAAACATGTGATGTGCTCAGCATAAAGCCTGAAACTGTGCAATTAGGCCTGGTGGCACTAGCCATCCTAGCCTCCTGCCAGCAGTGCCTGGGGCACTTACAGAAGTGTGACTGGCTTTAAGAGTTTTAGCTAGCGGCCCTTCTGCAGACCAGCTGTGTGCCTCTGAAGCACCCGGAGTCTTCTTGGCCTTCACGCAAAGGTTGACGCCAGTGCTGGGCACTGAGTGCGCCTGAGGCCTGGTCTGACGCTGCCTCGTTCAGACGGCGGCCTGTGATTGCGACTGTCTCTTGCGCACCCTGCCCCTTTGGAAGTGTCCGGGGATTGAACCCAGACAGGCCCTTACCACTGAGCTACAGCCCTACCTTGTTTTTTAGTACTGGAGATGGAGATCGAACTCAACCTTGTGCTTGCCAGGCAGGCGCGGTGCTGCTGAGCTACATCCTTGGCTTTTCCCCAGGCCGACCTCAGACTTGGGATCCTTCTGCCTCAGCCTCCCCAGCAGCTGGGATTCCAGGTGTGCACCACCACACCCAGCTTGGCAAGTCTTTTTGTTCTTTGGTTTCACAGCCCAGCCCGCCGTGAGCCACTTTGTCAGGGTCGCCATCCCCTCGGCCACCAGGCAGTGACCTTGCTGGCGCTGGAGAGGACATTAGGGTCACGCAGAAGAGCCGCTGCGTCCGTCAGCCTGGAGCCTGCCCACAAAGGCTGCCGGCGGGTGCACCTGGGGCCAGTCCTGCGGCAGCGCAGCCGAGCTGGGCAGCCCTTTTGGTTTTTAAATTAGTGCATGATTGCCATCCATAGCGCTCATTCATCATAAGGAATTTCTGCCTTCTTTCCCCCACTCTTCTCCTCTCCCTTCAACCCTCCTTTTCCTCCCTATTTACAGAGCTTTGTTTCCATTTTTCCCCTTCCGTTCTTTTTGTGGTTGTTGTTATTTTGTTTTATTTTTTGAGACAGGGTCTCGCTATTTAGGCCAGGCTGGCCTCGAACTTGCTGCGATCCTCCTGCCCCCTCCTGCCTCGGCTCGGAGTGCTGGGACTACAGACCCGCACCACCACGCCCCGCTCTGAATTCTTTATATGTTCTAGATATTAGTCCTTTGAGGAATAGCTGCTAAAGAATTTTCCCATTCTGTGGGTTGTCTCTTCACTCTGCTGGTGGCTTCTTTTGCAGTGTAAAAGCTGTTAAATTTGATGTGATCCTAGTTGTTCGTTCTTTGTAATATTTCCTATGTGATTGTGGTTTTGCTCATGAAGTCTTTGCCTACACCTGTGTCTTCAAGAGTCTCACCTGTTCTATCTTCCAGCAGATTAAGAGTTTCTGTTCTTATGCTTAGATCTTTGATCCATTTCAACTTTAGTTTAGTGCCTGGTGAGAGACATGGGCCTAGGTTCAGTCTTTGGCACGAGAAAGCCCGTTTCCCAGCACCATTTGGTGAAGAGGCGCTTTCTTCCTGCCAGGGTGTCTGGGACCCGCTCTTATCTGCAGGCCAGGACAGACCGTGCGTCTTCTAGCTCTGCGTCTAGTGATTCATATTTGTGGTTCATGACTGGCCTTGTGGGAGTCTTTATACCCTGGCAAAAGCCTCGAGTCAGGCCTTCCTGCCTCCCTGTGAGTGCCCTTTGGCGTCAGGACCCTGGGCAGGGCCGTCCTGGGACTGCAGTCTCCTCTTCAGTAAGGGCCAGTGTGAGTGGTGTCTGAGGGAAGGCCCGGAAAAGGCAGCAGGAGATTCTTCCTTCTCCCTCTGTCTTGAGCCCTCCCTGGCTTTTTTTCTTTCCTTTTTGGCACTACTAGGGATTGAACCCAGGGCCTCTGCACTGAGCATCCCCAGTCCTTTAAAATTTTTTGTTTTAAGGGCCAGGGCAGTAGCTCAGTGGCATAGCACCTGTCTGGGAAGCATGAGGTCCTGAGTTCGATTTCTGGTACCAAACAGGTTCTGTTGCTGTTTTGAGATAGGCCTTGCTGAGCAAGTTGCCCAGGCTGGGTGGACTTGACATGCTTCTGCCTCAGCCTCTGTGAGTGCTCTGGCCGCAGGTGCGGCCTCTGTGCTGGGCTGGCAGGCCCCAGTTCTGACCCTCTCCCCGCCCTTCCCTCCTCCCTCCCCACCTTCCTGTCTCCTCAGGATGTGGGCCCCCTGGATGAGAAGATGAAGGGCCTGGACGAGAATCAGGACTCGGAGCTCAAGTTCAATGAGTACTGGCGGCTGATTGGAGAGCTGGCCAGGGAAGTCAGGAAGGAGAAGCTGCTGGGGACCCAGAAGAAGTGAAGCCTGCTGGCTGGGCAGGGCCGGGCCAGCCCCCAGCCCCCAATAAAGCTCCTCCTTGCAACAAGTGTTTCCTTCTCATCTCATTCACATTCCACTCTGATTGCTTCTCTTCAGACTAGGGGTGGCTCTGCACTGACCTGAGAAGGAGCCTGAACATTATGAGCTCCTCAAAGACAGGGAACGATATTTATCTTCAAGTATTTTGCATTGTCTGGCCGCAGGTCTTGTACTGAGTAGGTACTCAATAAATAAATGGTTGATGAATGAATATACAAAAGATAAAGGAATCTAGGGCAGGTTAGGTGGCTTCTATTTCACCAGGTGCCTCCTGTGGCTGCCAGCATGGTTCTGGCTCCAGCTTCCGCATTTTATTCCTGGTGTTGTCCCTTATGACAGTGATAGCATGTAACGTGTATCATGGGCTTATCAAGCACAGGCTAAACATGTTACCTGAATTCAGCTGGGTGTGGTGTTGCACTCATGTCATCCCAGGATTTAGGAGGCTGAGGCAGGAGGATGTCTACCAGTTTTAGGCCAGCTTGGGCTATATTGGGAGACCTTGTCTCTAAAAAGTAAAAAAAAATACCCAACAACAAAATCCCCGAAAACCAAAAACCCCCAAAACATGTTACCTGCATGACCTTAGTTAACCCTCACAGCCTTGAATGGTAGGTGGTTTTCTATAGTTCATCTTTTCTACTGGGGATTGATCCTAGGGCATTCTCACTGAGCTCCAGCCCCACCCCTTTTACTTTTTTTATACTGAAGTAGGGCCTCCCTAACTCATTAAATTGCCCAAGTTGGATTTGAACTTGCAGTCTTTCTGCCTCAGCCTCCCAGAGTGCTGAGATTACAGGCCTGTGCCACCATCCCTGGCTCTGGTAGGTAGTTTGTTTTTCTTTTTGTTGTTTTTTGAGACAAGATCTCACTATGCAATACAGGCTGGCCTTGAACTCACAGATCCATACTGCCTCAGGCTCCCAAATGCTGGGATTACAGGTGTGCCCCACCACACTTGGCTCAGGCAGGTAGTACTTTTAAAACCTACACTGCAGGTGAGGAAACATTTTTAAATAGGTTAAGCCACGAAGACAAGAATAACTGGAACTGGGTTGAAATTCCGAGCCACTGACTCAGCAGGCCTCCAGGGACACCTGGGGACTGGGACCCTCTCCTGTACTCCCCAGCAGGGTTGAAGTAGAGGAGGAGGTGGTGGCCAGGGATTGGCACTGCTGCCCTCGGTTTCCTTGCTGGCTCCAGGGCATGCTGTTTGCAGGACCCGGCACCAGAGAACAGGGGCGGGGAGCAGGGGCAGCAGGGCCGCCATCCGTGCCTGCGTCCTTGTGGGCAGCTGAGAGTCCAGAGGAGCTCTGGGCTGAGACAGGCCTGGATCGCACACTTGAAACGGTCCTTAACGGAGCTGTACCACCCATGGAGGGCCCCAGCTGGGAGCTATTGTGGCAGACATTCCAGAGGGGCTTCTGGGGAGAGGGGTTGGTCCCAGTGGCAGATGAGTGAGACACTCCAGCCAGAGACTTCGGCCAAGCTGGTCTCTGAGAAACCCTCAGGTGGAAACACCCTTGGGGTTCCCCGAGTGAAGCCCTGTACAGAACTCTCAGAATGAGACCCTCGTGCTCGGGGCCTCAGTAAGTGGAGCCCCAAAGCACAGGGGAGCCCTGGCTGTGGGGCACAGGCTCCGATCTCAGAGTTCAGGAGAGGTGCCTAGGAGCTTAGCTGGGCCCCGTCCATGCCCTGACCCAAGCTGGGTCCCCCTGAGCCCAGCAGGTGAGGAGGCCTCTGGGGTTAGGCTCTGTCCGGGGAAGCACCGTCCTGGGGCCCCAGGGTGACGTCCTGGGTGCTGGACTGGAGGGTGGGTGTTGCAAGCTGCTGCAGGGTTAGGAAGATGTGGCACTTGCTGGAGGCAGGCACTTGCAGCCCGACCAGTTTGGAGAGGCTGTCAGCCACCAGGTAACTCAGCTGCGCCTTGGGGCCCCCTCCCCGTTCATCTGCCTGCCGTGGGGATTGGGAAAGGCCCTGGGGTCTGGGTGGGCTTGAGCGTCCCCACTCCAATGGGCCCTGGCTGGAGGAGAGAGGGGAAGGAGTGGGAGAGGCGTACAGAGGCTGCAGTGGACCCCTAAGTCTGTTGGCCTCTTCTGCCAGGCAGCACCTGCTTCTCCTGCCCGGTTCCGGGACCCTCTCTGCTTCACTACAGAATCTCTAAGCCACCGCTCCCGCAGCCTCCGTCCCTTCGGTCCTGTGACTCCACATGCTGATCTGGGGCCGGGCCACCCCAGTCCCACGCTCCGTGACTCCTTCCTCCTGGCACGGGTAGGACAGGCTCTGAGCTCTGCTGGCAGAGGGTGGGGCGCACGCAGCTGGCTCTCAGCCCGGGCAGGCGCAGCGCAGTGGGGCAGTGGCTGGGGGGTGAGGCCCAGCCCCTCCCGCCTCCCCCTTCCCCCCAGTATATGAGCCAAGCCCAGGTGCGCTGGCTCCTCCTGTCCAGTCTCAGTGGCTGCCAGCAGGTAAGGCGACCCAGGGCTTTTCACCCGCGGGCACCCCTGTCCAGGGGGCCTGTGCCTGTGCTGCCTGTCTCCTAGGGCAGGGCTGGGGCCCGGGCCCTGGAGCTCGGGGTGCAGGCATCCTGGCACCTCTGGGCGGTGGGGGAGGTGCGGCTGAAGTGAGGCCAAGCGATTCCTTCCTCCTGGTCTGCTTGGGGCTGAGGCCTTAGTCCTGGGGCCTGGGGAGGAACTGGGGCTGTGTGGAGTTGGCTCTCACACCTTGGGGGGCCAGAGGGGGCCACTGAGAAAGGAGGCGCGCTCTGCTCAGCCCAGCTGCCCCTCCTTGGCAGATCATGTGTCATCAGCTCCTCCGGGGCAGGCTGTAGCACGACGACGTTCTCACCGAGGACCAAGTGCCTGGGCGCCATGGGACAGTGCCGGTCTGCCAATGCCGAGGTGGGCCATGCACGCCTCCCCTCTGTCCCGGGAGCCTGTGACCCCAGGATTTTGCCCCTCACTTTGGCCTTGCCCCGTACACAGACCTCACCAGTGAGGCCCAAGTCCTCTCCCTGACCCAGCCGGGGAGGTGGTGTGTGTGGAGTCCTGGGAAGAGACTGTCTGGCTGGACTGTCCGGCCTATGGCTGGTGGCGGGGGCTCGTCCAGTCTGTGGCTCGGGACAGGGGCCGCTATGGCCTGCAGGCTGGGGCAGGGGTAAGGGAGAGGGGCTGGGTTCTGGGCTTTGGGCCCTGGAGTGGGCAGGGGCGGCTGCCTTCCGCTCTGCCAAGGGTCCCAGGAAAGCAGTGTGTCTGCCGTGGGTGGGTGGAGTGCCCCTGATGTGCTGTCTCCTGCCCTCAGGATGCCCAGGAGTTCAGTGATGTGGAGCGGGCCATCGAGACCCTCATCAAGAACTTCCACCAGTACTCGGTGGAGGGTGGGAAGGAGACGCTGAGCCCATCTGAGCTCCGGGACCTGGTCACTCAGCAGCTGCCCCACCTCATGCCGGTACTCAGCGGACCCCACCCCACACACCCTGACCACCAAGACCCGCCCACGCTGGGGCCTAGCCCTTCCCCCGGCCAGCGCCAGGCAGCTCAGGCCCTGCCACCTGCTCCCGGGCAGGGTGGGGTGGGAAGATCTGAAGGTGCCACCTTGCTGAGCTGAGCGACGATGTCTTCTCTCCCTTCAGAGCAATTGTGGGTTGGAAGAGAAAATTGGCAACCTGGGCAACTGTAATGGCTCTAAACTGGAGTTCGGGAGCTTCTGGGAGCTGATCGGAGAAGCAGCCAGGGGCTTGAAGCTGGATGGTCCTGTTCCAGGGAGTTGAAGACACTCCTGGGATTCTTGGGGAGATGTGGGGAGAGGGCACCTTAGAGACTGTGGGCTTGGAAATAAAACTTCGCTCCAGCGCTATCCCTGTTCCCCAGCCTGCACCTCCTTGTCCTTGCAAGGTTCAGGTTCATAACCGCTACCCCCAGGGCTGGTGCACCCTGTCCTGGGGGCTCCACGGAGCTCATGGGTCTAGGCGTGCGCCCACCACCGGACGCTCAGGGGCAGGTTGGGGCCTGGGAGGGTACAGAGGGGTAGGGGTGTAAGGGCCAAGTGATTTGGTGGTAGGGCAGGGCAGAGCGGAGCGGGGCTGGGCAGTAATCAGAGGATTGGGCTGGGAATACTGGGTACTGAGAAGGGTCCCGGAGAAGCTGCCCCTCGGGGTCTCCTCTCCACACTAAACTGTAGCTGTCTGTCCCGTGCTATCCCTTCCTGCACCCAGCCCTGCCCTGCCCCCCTTCCTGGACTCGGTGCAGGGCTAGGGCAGCTGAGAAGGGGAGCGGGGTCAGAGGAGGGGCTGAGAAGGTGTGCTTCTGGGGTGAGAGGACCACCTGGTGCTTGGGCATTTACAGAATGATGATTGTTTTGTATCATTTGATTAATAAAAAAATGAAAAAAAGTCAAAGATGCCGTCTTGATGGGATTCCCTCTCCTGAGCGTCGCGGGTGAACGGCTATCGGGCTCTGTCTCACTAAGGGCCCTGAGTGGTCCGCCCTGGAAGTGGCTGAGAGCTCGCTTTCTCCATGGATTTGGGTTAAGGGTTGTAGCAGGCCCAAAGGGTAGAAGAGCTGAGGGCTAGTGTGCGTGCAGATGGACGTGCAGCCTGACAGGAGGTGGGGGTGTGCGTGCCTGTGTGTCAGTGTGTGTGCGCGCGCGTGCATCTTCTTCCACCTGGGGAAAGGACGAGAGGCCGGATGTCCTGGGGCCTGGGGGGCTGCTGACCAGGGAAACGTGGGCAGAGGAGCGGGCTCACTGGCTTCGCTGGGTCCTCTCCCCTCCGTGTTGTGCGGAAGTCTGGGGTGCTCCAGGAGCATTACCTGTCAGATGGGGTGTGGGCAGTCCTGCCCTTGAACCATGCTGGGAGCTGGCTCAGCTCACCCCAAGGCCGACCGACACACAGCCAGTGCCTGTCAGTGGACGTCCCTGGGGAGCGGGGCAGGGGTCCTCTCTGGTTTGTCTGTGGCCCTGCTATGGGGAGGTGCAGCTGCTGTTTCCTTGGGTACCTGAGGGAAAGCTGGGAGTGAGGGTTTGCAGAGAAGCTGTCTGCTGTGCACGAGGGGATAGGTCTCAGGGAGCTCAGGTTGGGCTGAACTGGAGAGGTGAGACCAGAGCCAGCCTCCAGTCCCAGGGTGTCCACAGAAATCAGGACGGCTCAAATCAAACCAGCCTCAAATCCCAATGGCTAGGAAGTTTCTGTGGTCAGCTAGGCTGGCCTGGAATGCTGACTGAACTTGTCTGTTGGGGGCCCTTGAAACTGGCCTTCCAGTGACCCAGGTGAGAAGGACAGGTGACAGTCCTTCCCTTCTTCCTCCACCTGAGTCAGGTTCTGCTCAGCGCCTGAGGGGTTAGGAGGGTGGAGCCAGGGAGGTCCAGCTTCCTCCGCTCAGTCTGGTGTGGGGGTAGAAGGGTGCTCAAAAAGGTGTGTATCCCTTTAATAAGGGCCCAACCCCAGGGCCAAGCGGAGAGGGAGCTCAGTCACTACCTCCTCATCCAGCCAGCTCAGCCGGGCAGGCCCGAGAGGGAGTGGGACGGAGCCTGGGAGGCAGCTGGGGAGGAGTGCGCTGGGCTGAGCTGTGGAGCTGCTTGGCAGCGCAGAGCCCGGACCCCAGAGCTCTGCTGGACAGGAGGTGGCCCAGGAGGCTGGTGAGCACCCCAGGCCCGGCCTGGGAGGTCGGGGGAGGCCCGGAGAGCGGCGGGGAGGGGACTGGGGACAGGAAGATTTTGCTAATCATTAACTTTCTCCCAAGGCCGGTTTGGGAATGGGGAGTGTGGGCCTGGGGCCTGGGTGGAGCTTCCAGAGGAGGGGATAGGTGGCAGGACCCTGTCTGGGCGGCGGGGGGCAGGCAGGCCCTGGGCAGTGGGAGAGCGCGACGGAGCCGGCCCACAGCTGCGGATCCTTCCCAGACGGAAAAGGGCAAGCGTGGGTTGGCGGGGCTCAGGGCTGCCCAGACCCCGGCACAGGCCTCACCGGGCCCCAGGAGCAGAGTCCCGGGGAGTAACGAGGTCCCGGAGGAGCCAAGTGGGTCCAGGGCGCCTGAGAGAGGAGGCAGGGCTGAGGTGGCCTCTTCTACTGAGGCCCAGGCAGATCAGACACGGGCCCCGCTGTGCCAAAGAGCTGTTCCGTGGGAGGGGCTCCCTGGAAGAGGCAGAGGGGGCGGGAGGCCTGGGCCTGGAACTGGTGGCTTCTCCACCTCAGCAGCAGGCAGGTCCTTGCTGGACTTGCGTTGCCTTTTCTGGGAGCCACTTGCTTTATGTGATCCTTCCTCTGTCCAGCCCCTGGGAGCCGGTGACGTGGGGCCAACCTTTCCTCACGGACCGGTGAAGCGCTGAGTGTCGGTCAGGCTGGCAGTAGTCGTGTGTGCGGGTGTATCTCCCCACCCCAAACTCCTCCAATTTCACTTGTCTGGACAAAATTTCAGAGGAATCCACCTCCTGTTCCAAAAGCGAAAGAGGGTGCTAGGTGGATGGGTGGTTCACACAGGGGCTAAGGAACGGAGAGCTCGCGCCTCGTGCTCGGCATGCGCTTGAGGAACCGAGTCCTGCAAGGTGGCGGTGGGGGGGCGAGGCAGGGGCACCTGTGCGAACAATCAGCCTTATGCAACTGGGAAAAGCTGGGAGGAGCTGGGTGTGGCGGTGCGCACTCGTCCGCCCAGCACCTGGGAGGCTGAGGCAGGAGGGAGAGTTCAACGCAGGCTGAGTTACACAGCAAGATCCTGTCCCACAAACCAAACCAACCCTCGGGGATGGAGCTCAGTGGCGCCGCCCCTGCCTCTTGAGTGCAAGCTCCTGAGTTTGAGCCCTGGTACCAAAAACAAACAAAACAAAACAAAAACCAACCGAGCAGCTATCAAGCCAACCAGTTACCCAACCAACCAAATGAATGAACAAGCAAACCAAAGCGCACGGAGGAGCAGAGAGCCAGCCAGTTGAGGCTTTGATTCCTCTGAAACAGGCTCGAGCGCGCATTGCCAGCCCAGCTCAGATCATAGCTTCCTGTGTGTTGGAGGCAGCTGGGACAGGCGAGGGAGTGAAGAGTGCAGTGGCGGAATGAAGAGAGGAGAGGGTGAAGGATCGAATGAGTGCGTAAATGATTCGGGAAAGGCTGTGTAAGCAAATGAATGGTGGATAATGAGCGAATGGACTTGAGGTAGAACAGCACAGAGAATGCCAAATTTAAGTCTGGAGGGGGCTCGGCTCTAGCGAGGACAGCGACTAGGGGGAATGGGAGTCTAGGGGCACGTCCGGGGAGAGACACTTGTGCGGTGGGAAGAGGAGGTGCACTTCGAGGGGGTCGCGAGGTCCAGGTGCACACTGTCAGCGGGCATGGGCGCGGGTGGGAGCCAGAGCCGGGGGTGTGAGGGGAGGCCTCGCTGGGTGGGACCAGGGCATGGTGGCGGGGCAACTCGGGCTGCTGGAGCAGTCAGCAAGCTTGGCTCTTGGGGTGGGGAGCAGCCGCCTCTTGCTCAGTGATGGGTCAGCCCCAGGAGCGGACGGAACGTGGGGAGGGGTGGGGACTGGGGAAGCGGTCCCTCCGAGGACAGCCGACCACTGCCCCTTGCTGCAAGGCTCCAGTGGGTGCTGCTCACACTGCCCCCACCCCGATTCTCAGGCCCAGCTCTGCTGGTGGCAGACCGAAGCACGACTGACCTGGTCTTGCCTGGGTCGGGGCTCATGGGCAGCACACCTGCCCTCCTGCATGCCCTGGACCCCCAGGCCTGAGGGTGGGGCGGCTGGAGGGCCAGGTGTGCTGGTGGGGTGGCAGAGCCAGGCTCCCGGCTTCCAGGGCAGGATGGAGAAGGAGAGTCATGACACCTGCCTGCCTTCAGAAAATCCTCTGCAGAAGCCCTGCTGCCAATGGTTATCGAGGTGCTGTCCACTCTACAAGGAGCAGGTGGGGGCAGATTCCTGGGAGCGAGTGCCTGGGGAAGGAAGACCAGGGACACTGACACAGCATCTTGGGGAAACCCAGCCCTCCCGAGGGCTGGCTGCCGAGCTGGCTTCAGGCTCTGTGTGTCCAGAGGCCAGGCAGGGCAGGGGAGCAGAGGTGCCTCACTCAAAACACCCGTTTTCTCTTTCTTCTTTTCCTGTCCCCACAGGATCCCTCTCTGCAGGAAGAGGCCTGGGAGGTTAAGCGGGAGAGGTCTGCACACTCTCCCTCTCCCAAGGCTTGGTGGGGAACAGGCTTGGTGCGGTCCCTCCCGAAATGGGCAGTTTCCCGAATCACCAGAAGGGCTGGTCTCGGGCCTGGGCCACTCTCTGCCCCTTCAGGATAGCAGAGCAGATAGATCATGGGCTAAATTGTTTTCCTTCCTTATCTGTTAAAGTTAGAAAATCTGCATGGATGTCTGACAAGGCACAAAAATTGAACCACATAGTTACAAATAAAGAGCACGGAAAGATTATGGTTCCTGGCAGTCCTGGTGTTGTGCCATCCTTCCAGTCACAGAGCAGAGTGGTCAGGCGGCTGAGGGGCAGGAGGGCAGGGTTTTCCGGCAGAGTCCCTAGCCTGACCCCTGTCCCTCTTCAGTGTCTTCCTTTTTGCATCCTGGCCCATCTGCTTCCTCCGCGTCTCATATGTCCTCCAGGGAAAAGCTCTGTAAGAGAAAAAGCTTAGAAAAGTGGTCAAGGACTGGTGTTAGGGCTGAAAGGAGGTGGAATATTTCTAGAACATCTCCCTTAAGCATAGCCCTGAGCCAAGCAGCATGGGGTGGGGGAGACCCAGAGAGGAAAAGGAAGGCAGTTGAACATGCAGGACTTAGAGGTGGCCCCAAGTCCATGAGCTTGGCCATTGGTGCAGAAAATGCAGTGGCCCCAGCAGGTGCTGCCGTGGTGCAGACAGACTTGTCTGTCGGAGCCGGAGAGGAGTGCGCAATGGCAGGGGTCAAGGCCGCCTTCCTGTCAGAGGCATGGTTGGGGCAGGGCCAGGGCCATGAACTGGTTTCTGCTGGGTGGAGTGGGCACAGCACCGGGCATGGCAGTAGGAATGACCTCGGAGGGCAGTGGAAGGCAGGTGGCAGGGGCAGGAGTTGGCAGCAGGGCCTGGCAAGGGATCTCGCTCCCACATCAGAGCGTGCATGTGCAGGCCTGTGTGGCGGGCAGCTGTGTCCCTGGTGTCCAGCTCCCCTTGCTGGGCGAAGGCAGCCGGAGCTTATTCCTTGGCTTGAGGGCGGAAGGGGAGTCTGATTTGCCCGGGTTGACTTGGGGGGGCTCTGGGCATGGGCGGTGACTCACACAGTAGATCCGCCTGTTCCCCTCATATCCTGTCATTTGGAAGCCGTATCCACTTGGAATGCGAGTGCCTTTTGTTCTGGGTTAGAGGGTTACACGAGTGGCAGCTGCTGTGTCCAGGGTCTGTCTCCAGCTGTGGCAGAACCGGGCCTGGCTCTTCCTTAGGTAATGGAGCGAGGGTGTCCTGTGTCCTGCTGTCTCTCTCAAGGGAGGGGAGGCCAGCAGGGTGTGGGTGTTGTGGACAGAGTCTCAGCTGATGGTCAGGGCCTTGTCCCTCCCTGGAGAGGGGCAGCCATGGCCCAGGCCCCAGGATCGGCTGCTTGGGGTTCTCCCAGGCCCTTATTTCCTGCTGTGTTACCTGGGGCTGGGTCTCTGCAATCCTGGGGTTCGGAGACCGAGCCCCACTGCCTTGACCCCTCTGCCTCGGGACAGCTGTTCCTAGCTGTGCCTGCCCGGGGCCCTGGGTGTCCAGGCTAGGTGCAATCAGCAGGCAGGGCCAGGCAGTCCCCTCCTCCTCTTCCCATGGGAGCCAGCAGTGCAGTCCAGAGCCCCGGGCTGGGGAAGGACCTGGAGAACCCGTCCAGGCAGTCAAGCTGGGGAGCATCTGGATTAAGGAAACCACATAGCTGTCATTCCAGGGCCACCCCCGCACCCCTGTGGGCTGTCCTGGGTGTGCCGAGGGCCCGAGGGTGGACGCGGGTCCGCCCGGCCTGTGGGGTCTCTTCTCATCGCCCTCCTCATGATGCCCAGGCCAGGGAGCAGCTGAAGGTGGAGATGGCAGATTGCTACACGGAGCTGGAGAAGGCCATCGTCGTCCTGGTGGAGAACTTCTACAAATACGTGTCTAAGCACAGCCTGGTCAAGAACAAGATAAGCAAGAGCAGCTTCCGAAAAATGCTGCAGAAAGAGCTGAGCCACATGCTGACGGTGGGCCCCACCCGCAGGCCTGGCTGTCCCCTTCCGCCCTCTCTGGGTGCTCTTCCTGCCCAGGCCTCTGCCCGTGTCCCTCCTGTCACTCCCACCCCAGGACTCCCTTCTTGCCCTGCAGGCCTGTCTTCTCGGGGCCCAGGCTGGGCCAGTGAGGGCTGTTTGCCTTTCCCAGGACGCAGCTGCCCCGGCTCCATCCTCGGGCTCTGCGTTGGTCCTCTGGGGCTCGCTGGGGCTGCTGCCCTCGGTATTGCTGACCTCTGGCTCCCCTGCAGGACACGGGAAACCGGAAGGCGGCTGACAAGCTCATCCAGGACCTGGACGCCAACCACGATGGGCGCATCAGCTTCGACGAGTACTGGGCTCTGATAGGTGGTATCAGCAGCCCCATTGCCAACCTCATCCGAGAGCAGGAGCAGCAGAGCTAAAGGCCCGGCCCTGCCGGCCTGATGCTCGTCCCAGCCTCCCTCTTCAGCCCTGTGGCCTTTCCACCCCTTCCTCCCTTCTCCCTCTGGACTTCTGATCCTTGCTGAGCAGTGGAGGGGAGAGGCCAGGGTCCCTTGTGAGTGTCCCGGTCTGGAGGTGCTTCCTTTGGGTCTCAGTCCCTGGAGTCGCAGACCCCAGGGCTCTCAGACCTCAGTGCTGATGCGGACCCCAGTTTCCTCCCTTGTTCAGTCCACTCCCCCTTCCTGTCTGGTCCCTGCCTGCTTCTGGGTCTGTCCTGATCCCAGAGGCAAGCTTGGTGACCCGTCTCCCCATTCCTGGCGGCAGCAGCAGAGACCTTGTCCTTCTCAGCCCTTCCTGGGGGCACCGTCGGGGACTCCCCTCCAGCTGCCTTTGTCTGGGAATGAGCTAAGCAGGGCTGAGTGCTTCCCCCTGCTCAGCCACTGAAACAGTGTCAATAAAGGCTGGATTTGGAGTTTGCACCCCTCATCTGGTCCCTTTGTGATGCTCCTTAAACCCGTCGCACTCCCTGGAAACATCTTCTGCCTTGGTGGTCTTTGCCCTGGACGTTGAGGCCGGGAGAGAGACCCCAAAGGTGGAGCAAGATGGAAGCTGCAGGTCCTGAATCCCGGGAGCTGCTGCCATTCCTGGACCAGCAGCGCTTCCCCTCCTGCTCCACGATGGGCCTGAGGCCACGTGCCACCCTGTCCAGGCCCTCACAATGCAGACTGAGCCTCATCACCAACGTCCATGAGCAGGAGGTCTCATTTAGTTCTCACTGAGCTTCTGCAAGCAGGGCCACTAGCACCGCTGCCCTGATGCCTCCGCAGCACCCCACGAAGTCGTGGGCAGGGAGGAGGATGTGGGAGGCCGAGGGGAAAGGAAACGTGGCCATGGCACTGGAGGGACAGTGCAGGCTGTTTCTCCCCTGCTTTTGCCAGAGGGAACATGGCAGGAAACTCAGCCTGCAGAGCTTTGCATTAGGGGTTGTGAAAGGGGAGCAGTGCACCCCAAGTTTACGAGTTCCCAAAGGTGCACCAGCACATTCACACACCCTCAGTCTTCTGGAACTGGGCTGCCTTGGCAAAATGGGCTGGTTGGCAAGGTGTTCCCCTGGCCTTCCCTTCCCACCTCCTCGGGACAAGAACTTCCCCATTTAAAAGCGAAAGGCCTGTCCTGTGTCTGCTAGGTACTGCTATGCCGCCCTGAATCAGTGGTGTCTTAGTTACTTTTCTCATTGCTGAGACAAAATACTCGACGCTCAGAGTTAAATGGGGAAAGGTTTACTTAGTTTGTAGAGGCTTCAGCCCACGATCGGCTGGCCCCAAGGCAGGACACACATGGCAGAAGGGCAACAGTTCATGGCGGGAGAAGACAGCAAAAGCAACAAGGGGCGGCCACAGCTCTTTCCGTCTCATGTCTTATTCGGACTCCTTAGGGTGGTAGCAGTCACACTCTTAACCCTAATGCCCTTGAGCCTAGCAGTGCAGCATGAATCATTCCCAGCGTCACATACTCTAGATTCAGCCACCTCAAAAAACGTCTCACGTATGACTGTGAGGCTTTGGGAAGACATCGAGACACACCCATAGCATTCTTCCCCTGGCTCCCCAAAGACTTGGGCACAACCCTTTATGCAAAGGCATTTAGTCCCTCTCCAAGAGATGCCAAAGTCCCAACAGTTTCAGCATTGCTGAAAGTCCAAGTCCCCAAGTCTCCTCTGAGATTTAAGGCAGACTCTTAGCTGGGAGCCCCTACAGAAATGAAAAGAAAAGAAAGTTAAACACTTTCAACATTTAATGGCACAAGGTAGACATTTCCATTCCAAAAGTTACAAACAGGAGGATACAAAGGAACGAGACCAAAGCAAGTCCAAAATCCAGCAGCGCTAATATTAAACCCACAGTTCCACTTCCAGCATCCTGGGAAGTCTGTGGGAAATTGTGGACTCCAAAGGGCTTTGGTGGCTCTGCCCCTACAGCATCTTGAGTGGTTGCAGCTCCCACAGCTTCTCTTTTGGGCTGGCTCTGCTCCCTCCTTGCAGCTGTACTTGGACAATCCACGTTCCCGGCTTCTCCAACTTTCTGGGGTCTCCACTGCACCTTCGGCTTCACACTCACAGCTTCAATAAGTGCACTCCCAGGTGCTGGAGACCCCTGTAGTCAGGTTCCAGTCCCCACCTGCCCAGTATAGGACGCAGGCCTGAGAAAAAGAATACCCTAGGAGACAGAACTAAGAGAGAGAAAGTGGGGTGCCAGGATGACCAATGCTGGGGCAACCAACAAAGGCCCTGGCCAGTCCCAGGCACTGACTTTTATTGGTGATCCATTGGGGTAAAGGCAACGCGTGGTTTCTACGGAAATTAACGTAAACAAGGCTCATAAAGGACAAGACAAAGCATTCTCAAATTAGGAGCAGAATGGGCCAGGGATTTAGCTCAGTGGTTCTGGCGCCTGCCTTGCAAGCGCAAGGTCCTGAGTTCGATCTCTGGTACCAAAAAAAAAAAAACCAACCCCCAAAAACAAAATTAGGAGCAGAATAGACAAAAATTGTAAATAGAACATCGTCCTTCTAGTCTGAAGGTTTAGTTGTGGGAGTGGAATTTGGGAGCGAGTTACTCTGACCTTGGCACGTAGGCTTTGGCCAGACTCACCTCTATAAACAAGCCAACCGTGGGGCTAACTCCACAGTCCGCTTTGGGCATACTCAATATCGTGGGGCCCTGCACTCAGGGGCACGGCCTGGCCTCAGGCCTTCCTCTGAATCTAGGCGGGAGTCTTCCTGACCCCACAACTCTTACGTTCTGTGTGCGCCTAAAACCAGCGCGGGATGCATGACGCCAAGGTCTGCTGCCCGAGGGAGCAGTAGCCAGGCTTCCTTCTCTCTTGGCTGTAGGAGTCCAGTGCCTATGAGCCAGATCCCAAGGTACAACTCCCCTAAGCCACTGGCGTTCTGGAACATGGCGCTCTGGGGCTCTCTTCTCAAAGCAAAGTCTTTTACTTTTGAAATTTTGAGGCTGCAAAGGGTAGAGTTCTGCTGGTTCTTGTGATGCCCTCAGGCCATCTTTTCTGTTCTCCTATTTCTTCTCAGCAATCAAGATCTCCTCTGCTCTATTTTTTGCAAACTGCAACTTTACTGGAGCTTCCTTTCTGGCCAAATTCAAAATGTTTTAAATCGTTCTGCTGGGCTCAGTGCTCTTGATTTTCAACATAAATCTGACTAAAAGCCCCTAACAGTAGGGGCTTTTAAAATGCCACCACCTCAACATTAGACTGCCTTGAAATTTCTTCTGCCAGATTAATTAGTCCACCACCCTTAATTTCAGACTTGGGCAAAGTCTCTGGACATGAGCAAAATGCAGACAAACCTTCTGCCAACCCATAACACACATGGTCTGGAGTCCAGCAGCCAGTGCAGAAACCTCCTGAGTCTGATCTTTACTGGCAAGATTTCTATCAGCCTTTTGGTTTCCTGAGCTCTGAGCAGATTCTCCCGTACAGTACAGCCTAAGGCGTTCCAGCTCTACCTTTTCAGCCAGCATCTCTGAACCTTTCCGAACTCTTCCCACAAGCCATTCCCAAAGGCTCTGGAACCATGTGGCCAGGTATAGTCACAGCAATGACCCCACTTCTCTGGTACCAAATTCTGTTGTAGTCAGGGTTTGCAAGGGAATAGATTTAATACAGGACACATAACTTATAGGATTAAGTTAGAATATTCACTCAAAAAGTCAAATGGAGAAGAGTGTAAGAGATCTGTCTGTACACTAGAGACCTGAAGAATCCAGCTGAGGGCCTGGATCCACATGAGTCCAGCTGAAGGCCTAGAGCCCAGGCAATGTCATCTGTGAGTCCAGCCAGAGGCCTGGAGCCCACGGCAATGTCTCTTGCAAGTCTGTATCGAGGATCTGCACTGGGAAGGCCCAAAGGCCAGTGGTGGAAGCTGGAAAGTCTGTGCCATTGGCAGGAAGGACCTGGGCCACCAGGCTGAGGGAGCTGCACCGGAGCCAGGAAGCAATGCTCAAGGTGAAGACCAGATGAGAACAGCAGCCATTCCCAGTGACAGCGAGGACTGGAGCTCCTTGGACAATGAGAACAGCCAAGCTCACATCAGGAAAACCAGCCATGGCAAGCTTCTGCAAGAAAATCAATAGCAACCATCTTCCCCTCCAGTTCTCCTCTTATGCCATTGGCAACAATGTCTTCTACTACCAGAGCCACACTGACTCAGTTCCGCTGGGTGTGCCAAGTTGACCATTAGTCAATCCACCATAGCACCCCTGTCAGCTTCATGACCAGACACATCTCCTTAAACCATAGTTTTCAGCAGCAGATTTGTAAAAAGTTAACATATCTTGATCTACTCAGATTTATGTTAATATAACAGTTACATATATACAATTCATTTTTTTTTTTTGGTACCGGAGATCGAACTCAGGTCCTTGCCCTTGCGAGGCAGGCGGTAGAAGCACTGAGCTAAACGCCTAGCCCCGTATATACAATTCTTATTGCACTTATTTCCACATTATGGCTTCAAGGTTTAAAACTCCTCGGGTTTCCATTTATGTACATGATTTAGCAATACTTATTTATTTATTTATTTATTTGGTACTGGGGATCGAACTCCAGAACTTGTGCTTGCGAGGCAGTCGCCGGAACCACTGAGCTAAATCCCCAGCCCCGCTTTTTTTTTTTCTTTTGATACTAGGGATTGAACTCGGGTCCTTGCGCTTGCACAGCAGGCAGCGAAACCACTGAGCTAAATCCCCAGCCCTTGTTTGATTTTTTGAGACAGGTTCTTGCTATGTAGTTTAGGCTGGCCTTGAACTCACTATGTGGCACAGGGCGATCTTGAACTCACTGTAATCTGTCATGTAAAAGAGCTGAAAACCAAGACCAGACCAGGCCACAGCAAGCCTTTATTGCAGGGACGATCTGCCGGGCCGTCTCTGAACAAAGGAGAGACAAAAGCCTAGCAATACTTAAAAACAGTATTATATATATCAACATCATATTATATTAAAATTATAATAGGAGAGAGCTATTAACTCACAGTCCTTGCTTCCATTAACCTTAGCAACAGGTCCGACAGCACTAATGTCCCAAGGGCTCTCCTACATTCCAAATACACTCTTCCCTCTATAAAAAGTGGTAACCTGTTCATATTTGTGTGTGTGTCTGTGGTCTATCTATCTACCTATCCGTTCATTCATATCCATCCATCCATCTATCCATCCATCATCCTTCTGTCCATCCATCTGTATGTTTGTCCATCTGTCTTACCCACCCACCCATCCATCCATCTATTCATCCATCCATCCATCATGGCAACAAAACCCTCAACAAAACAAATTTACCCTACTTTTAAGTGTATGTTACAGTATTATTAACTATATGCACATTGTGTTTTTAAAAATATTTTTTGTTTAAAGAGGCAGCAAGAGTCCTGCTATCTTACCCACACTGATTTTGAGTTAAAAAAAAAAAAAAAATCTCTAGGAGCCCGTAGAACTTGTATTTGAATTTAGCAGGATTAGAAAACACAAGATATATATAAAAATTCAGATCTGGTCCAGGGATTTAGCTCAGTGGTTCCGGCACCTAC